CAGGTTCTCCTCCAACAGGACACGAAGTTGGAATATTCCGTCTTGCTCATGTCAAATGATCCGGAAGGCCATCAAGCGGTATAGCCACTTAGGGAACCCATCTATTTCTTTCCGCTGGGCGGAGTGTAGGTGGAGCCACCTCGGCCATTGTTGTAGTAAGTACTTCCGTTTGCGTTGCTGTAGTAGTACGATCCATTGCTACCAAGGTAACACTGTCAGTATTGATCTCGTGTATGCTCTAAATGGCAAAAGCTTTGGCTTACATGTTGGAGTAATGGTAAGAATTGGAGTTGGCAGCGGAAGAGCCATAATCACGAGCACAGTAATGGTTTCCCTAGATTTGGTCAACAGTACGCTCTCGAATGATGAATACACATAGTTGACCAGGCTGTTAGCTCGTCATTGCCCATGAAGGGCCGTCTGGTCAACATATCCACGAAAGCATGCCGTGGAACCAAAAGAATACAGCACGGCAGAGGTCCGGTACATCTAATGGGTATCTCTGCCTGTATCGAAGACATAGCTGGTTTCACTAGTGGTCAAAGATGGGTAGCCATTGGCATATCTCATCTTCTAGCAAATGGAACCTTGTTGAGGTCGGAGGAAAATGAAGTGCAGGCGTCATGGATAGTACAAACCTGGCTGTTGGTGCCGGAAGACTTGTAGGTGTAGCCACCGTTGCTGCTTGAAGAGTTCTCAGGCATCTTGTCTGTGTTCAGAGTATAGAGGAATGATTCCGTTGAGTGCTATACGCTTTGACTCGGATACAGAGTTGAACAGTGGTTGTAAACGATGGTAGGCCGGGGGGGGGGGGGGGGGGGCGGCGTGTTGAGGAGGAGTTTCCCTTATATAGGCAGATCTACCCGATCCATTATTGGGCCCTCCGCTTATCCTTTGGTGACGGTGCGAAAGGGGACGGCACAGAGTTACTTTCCCTTCTTCAACTTGGGGTCCCATAATTATTTTGAAACAAGCTGTTCATCTTCCAATCCTAGAGAGGTTATCACGGAACTAGAAGGCTTAGTTGTATGCTAAGGTTTTGAGCTGCGAATACTAAACCAGCGACTATATGTGCCGGAGGAACGCCAAATGGTCTTAACCGAGCGCAATCAATATTAATGTTATTTGCCCAGCAATTATTGCTGCTCTGTATCTTGGGTCTGCGGCTTCTGGAGTAAGTCGGCATTGTCCTGCAAAGCGAGTTGCAATACTTGGCACGAGTATAAAAGAAGAATGCATTTCAACGTCGTAGTTAGCTACTTTGCAAGGGCTATCCCATTCTAATTAATATGATATTGTTACACCTTGACGGCCTATTTTATATCTCCAAGTCTTTTGTTGTCGTCGCTTTTTCTCTTTTCGGAAATCAACCTCGGGACGGGAAGCAAAGTCTCACGTGACATGAACAATCATCGGATCTTATTTTCTCCGAGATCACATCATGTGACCCACGCGTCGTCCGCGCGAGAAATCAACATCAGCACCTGCAACAACAACATCGTTGGAAGGCATCAATATCAATCAATATAAGAGCCATTGTTCAATTGACACTGTTTTGATTTACCCATTGATACCTGATCGCTACCTTCTGCTAGTCAGGAGCTAGGATAACAAGTCTTTATGACGTCAGCCTGGCTAGGCAGGTTTTTTGGAAAGTGCTATTGATTTATACCCTCTACAAAAACCGTTCCTATTCATCAGCAACGCGGTTTGTCCCGAGATGCTGGGCCACAATGGCAGCTATATTAGCGGAATACCTCCATATTGAGCTCTAAGTCATTATTTGTCAGCATGACTATTTTATTTCCCTGACGCGAGCTGTCTTTAAAAAATTTTATTCCATATACCAAGGACATCCAAAGCAGTCATGTCCTTCTTCTAGGAGGTGTTACTACTAAAAATATCCAGGACGTGTTCTATGAACATCCTATACCTGAGCTGACGGAAGTTGACGCGAACTAGAAAGGCAAGGAATCACATTCGAACATGGTCGAAGTGTCTCTTGGATGTCCTACCAGCGGAGTATCCAATCTCTTCTGCCAGCCCATGTGTTGCTAGTCCTCTATGCGTTGGTCATATCTTCGGAATTCACCACAGCTCACTTCTATTTAAATGAAGTCAAGCTCCCTCACTAACCTACTTGCTCTTTCACTCCTCTCTCTCTCTCTGCTCTTCTCCCCCTACCCTTCACTTGATTCTCGAGGCAAGAGGTAAGAGTCCATATCTTGCCTATTACATCCGAGGATTTACTTCTCCTGAACCATTACCATTAATCGAATCAGTCCATCTCTTCTATGAGTTTTTGACCACAAGTACGAAAACCGTATTCTGCGTTGCATTTCTTTACTGATCAAATTGAAAGTCGACACTCTCTTTACTGGCACCATGGACACCCAATCGGTGGTACAGTTACCACTGCAGGATCTAGTTGCTATTCATCGGCAAACTTGCGGGTTGCACCCCGCAGATTCGCCCAACTGCAATGTCCACACCCTGAAAGGCGAGGCGTGCCGCTATAAAGGCAGAAATGGGATTGAACCAGATGGAACCATTCCAGGAAGACTGCCAGTGTGTGGGATGCATCGTCCCTTTGCTCCATCGTCTGCCCGTTGCAAGGCGATGTTGCCTTGTGGCTTTGAGTGCGGGAGATTGTTCAAATGGAGTCCCGGTGAAGTTAGGCTCTGCCCTGATCATGACGATATGTCCCAGCCATGCTACTTCATGATCATCCCAGCAGAACTGAGAATGAAGATTTACCAGCAGCTGTTTCTAGAACCGCAGACCGATAAGCGGCCCTATTCTGATTCCCGCAGCAGCAAAGGCAATCGGACCAGCATTTTCCGCGTCAACCGCAAAATTAATGAAGAAGCTACGTCGGTTTTCTATGGATACCCCAAGTATACCATTGAGGTGGGCCCTGATCAAGTACACATGGCTGGCGATCTGTGGAAGTGGAGATACTACAAAAACCTGCTGATTGAGAAGGCTCGCCTAAGCAAATCAGAAAACTCTTCGGATCGCCCCGTTGCCCTTCTAGGAGCTCCCTCGCACCCTTTTCTCAAATGTACTACCATAAACCTGCCAATGGGTGTGGCCAACTTTTCGAAAATGAGAACTTTCCACATCCATATTCACCTCAACCACCCTCAGAAGAAGGGTCAGGCCCGGTCCAACTCAGCTAACGTGTCATTGCAATACACCTGGGAGCGAGAAATGAAAGACAGTTATCATATGGTTGCTGACAATTTACAAAAGCTGGAAGTCTTTCTGAAGTTAGTGAAACCTAACATTCACACCTTGTCAATTTCAATCCAGATCGACTACAACTTCACCGGAAAGCTGTCTGACTGCCTGAGATACCCCGTTCACGCTCTCCGCTGGCTCAGCCGCCTCCGATCCGTTACCTATGTGTCTGTCGAGACCGTTGAGTGGGGAAATGAGACTTTCAGCGTTCTTCCGCACGTTAACTACCAGCCGTCTCCTTCCCGACCAACCCTTATCCCTCTCAACACCAACCAGGTACCCAAGGAAGAAATGAAAAAGTATAATACATTCCGCGCAAAGATTGCTATCTGGGAGAGTCTGGTTTCTACCATAGACAAGTGTGCAACCAACACTCGTATCATGAACGCTTACTGGAGACTGGAAAATTTGCTCTGGATCTTTCAGACTGCTGGGGTCCGTCAGTTTCGAGAAAATGATGACACTCTGCCTGATCTTCTCTATAAAGCTAGATGTGCGCTTCATAATGATGATATAGTTGGGATGAATGACGCAGCGATTGAGGCGGTGAAATACTGGTCTAACCACATTGACATGGAGAGAGACTTAAGGCGTTGGGCTTGGAAAGAGTTTCTCATGGTAAACACCCTGACTGCACCGAATACACCCTCTACCCTCGGGGAGTTACTAGAAATGTTGAAAGACGCAGGTATCAGTAGCTCAGTCCTCCCCCAGATTCCATTGAGACTTGCCGGCGCATCAGCACCATAGATTGGCATTAAACGGGGAGGTTGGATCACGTCCTGAATAACTTGGGAGGATGATTTTGGACGGAACTTTTATTCACAACTTTCTCCGTCTGCGCTCTTCCCCCTATTTTCATTTCTTTGTTTCTCTACCCGCTGCGTTATGGTTGCTAGAGGCTATTTCTTTGATTTCTTCTTCACCTAACTATCAATTCACCACTGACTCTTATCTGGGAGTAGGTAGTGATAACTATTTTACAGATTGTCCTGTTATTAGAAAAGAGAATAGTATTGTGAAGGCAGCATCCATCTTTTAATTGAATTTCTCTTAGCTTACTTGAGGACGAGCAGGTAAAATATACTAGTAGCTGAGACAAAATACCGATTCATTTACAAGAGAATGAAAGTAAGTATACAGCAGTTAAATTCCTAGCAAGGCTAGATATAAGTAATGGAGACACTAGAGAGATTACCTCAAGCCACCATGCTCTCGTCCACAATGTCGTTTCCGGAGAAAGCCATATATTATCCAGGCCGGGAGGCTCAGACATATATCAACCTTCCACTCCCGAATGTGTATGTTAGAAGTTGGAAAGCGCATGTGTTCGCAACAGTAAGAATGAATTATTCGACTCAAGTCTTCTCCATCCCCCTATCTGACGCACTGCTAGTCGAAACAAAAAGACCGACTTGAAAGACACTCGAGAATTGCCCAGCATGACTTGGGGAAGTCAACTAGGTAGACGTTTCATGTGAAGATCGAAGATAAACAGTGAAGAATCAAGAAGACAAGAAGCAACAAAAGCAAGCAAAGGGTCTGATTTGATTGCCAGATATCCGGAACTCCCGCCATCCATCAAATTTTTTGCCAACCCTGAAAAGAAGTCGACATGGGAAACAAGAAGGCAACAGGGTGATGATCTCCATCTTCTATCTGTCTGGTATCATCGAGTAAGAAATTTCGAAAGCGGAAGCATGGAAAGTCGGGATATTGGGAGAAAAAGAATCGACAACGACAACGCTGCCATATTGCATTAAATAAGCTCTTTTCACATTTTTTGGTATTTGGAGAATATTATGTTGTTGGGTGTGGTGCGGTGTGGTATGGTGAGAAAAGGGGGTTGAGGTCTGCGGGCGTGTTGCCTTGGTTCGTCGTAAAGAAAGCTATTTTATGACAGGTTGCATTGTGATCCTTTTGTATTCATATCCCATTTTTAACACATTTTTTGGTATTGGCGTTAAGTCATCCTCTACTTTCTCCTGAAAGAGCATCCCTCGGTCAATCTAGCCTTTCCGCCGGTGGGTTGGCAAAGGACGGTAGAGCAGCCAGCGCAGATAACGACGGTCTGGGCATGCGAGAAGACGGTGGTGATTGTGAAGCAGCCGGGGCACTTGACGTCCATGAAGAAGGATCGGGGAGCAGGCACAAGGGTCTGTAGAAGGTGAAAATTCGACAGTTAGATATTTTTCGATGACTTTTCACTCCAGCCATATAACTTCGTTTAGAGGGTGATGCGACGGTGCAACGGTTCTGCCGATAGCACATACCTTGAGCTTGTGCTTGCGAGCCTCCGACTGGGGCTGGGAGTTAAGAAGATCGACCGCGAGAACCTATTCATCGATATCCGTCAGCAATTTTGTCCATATGGCTGCCATATTCAGAGCCCTAGTCGACGCCATCATGAGGTTTTGACTCATGCAGGTCATCTCGCCGCGAAAGAGCAGCATCGGCGCTGTCAGCGAAACGGGAAGACATACCATGTTGACTCAATGTATCTTGTCTGGAGGATGAGATGTGACGAGGGAGCGCTTCTAGAGGTGGTTTTGGGAGAGAGTCGACGGTCGAGCAGGAGAAGAAGCGAGGAAGAGGAAAAAGAAGCGAGGTTGAAGTCAAGATCGTGTGAGAAGTTGCGAGTTTTCGCACACAGAAAATTTGACGGGCCGAAAGCGGTTAGCGTGGATGGACGTCGCTTAGCTAGCCTGTTCTGGTTTAGTGGATTATGTAATTATACTAGTCTGTTTTAGGCAAGAAGGACGACCATTTCGAAAACACGAAAACGACGCGAAAGATGAGCAAGACATGGTAGATGGTCCAAGGGATATGGATGAGATGAACTTGGAAAGACGGTCAGGTAGTAAAGATATTTGTTGCTTGCTTCAGCCTTGTTTGTTGGAGTTTGACCCTGTGGTTTGCCGGATGCGAGCAAACTCGAAGGGACATGCCTTTATAAGGGCTGCTGGTTACCCCTTTTCCTTGGGGATAGCTAAGAAGCAAGGCTACATGGCTTGATATTCTTAGACAACTTTGATACCCTTTTAATACTGAACAAGAGTGATTTTGTTTGCTGGATTTGATTGTTGTTGGTATATTGATCAAGTTGAACAAATACCGTACCTCTATTTGAGACCGCTCCTGAAACTCCAACGGAGTGAATACTCTCTTTCTATAATTCACCTAATGATCTGAAACAAACGCTTGATAATGGGAGATAGACTGCATTACTTGCGGTGGAAGCCTACTATCACGGCTCCTTCCCCGAATAACCCATCTAATAACGCACGACTCAGACAACAAGTGCCTGTTTCAAGTCCATCGACCAGCGCTACCAGTGGTCTCCAAGGCCAAGGCACTGCTCGGTATGTGAGGGGCTCATATACATTGTTTTCTGGCTACAATATAGACCAGATCAATGGCATCTTGGTCAGTGATGACGGCAATGGCTTTTTGCTGGCTGTACCGCCTGAAGCCTCGTTGCGTTCAACCGCTCCAGAGGCTGGGTCAAGCTCCGCTCGAAGAGAAACAAGGCCTACAGGACATTCTTCAAGAATCTCTGATTATGAAATAGCAAAAGAGGAACAGGATTTCGAGGACGCTATCCAGAACTCACTTAAAGACCATAGGACTCCTGTCGCAGTCCCTCGTGTCCGTGGTCAGCGTAGTAGTACTGTTGCCGATCGGCCTTCTGCAGCTTCCCATCGCCCCCAGCAGCCCTTCAATATTCAAACTCTCTGGAGATTGTACCAAGAACAGCAAGAGACCAGCGCTGCTAGGCAGCAACCGGCCCCAGCGATTCGGCGCGGCCTGCTGCGCCCATCAGCACATAAGATAACCTGCACTATCTGCAGTGGCAGTCGAGCTGTCCGTCGGGATGAAGCGATCGCCGATGGCCTGCCTATTTGCGAAAGTTGCTGTGATGAAATATTACGAGCAGAGCAGTCGAGAGCCGAGCAGGTTGAAAGAGAGAGGCGAGTTCGTTTTGCTTAACCTTGCCAACCTTTCATTCCATTTTGCGGTCAAGTCAACAATATCTGCTATTTCTACCGTGTATTATTTCCGGGATTTAGATGGAGATTGTCGGAGAACTAGGGTTCACAATAATAATTTCTGGGAAAGTGGCGTAGGGTTGGAATATTCTATGACAGGGAAACACTAGTCGAGAGCTGTTATTCATACTAAGCCAAGCCCCCGGATGGGATATCTAAGGCAAAGGGGAGCTGATTGGGAATGATGCCATTGCTGAGACTACAAGCACTAACATACCATTCATTAATGGCTAAACGAAGACAAATTTACTTGAGCAAAAAAAAAGACCAAAAAAGAATACATACGACAGTCGGGATTCGCTGGTGGTCACCCACCCAACTACTAACCGACCGGCAAGTGGCTTAAGTACAGCTGAGCGGACGGGAAGCTCTGTTTTCCACTTCCTGTGGTCGTATGTGCTAGATACATAGACGAAAGGATTGATATAGGACAGATCCGGCTTGTAAACTAGTCACTCTGTATTTTCATTGATAAAGACATTCCATTTATACGTATAGCTAATCTTAATTATGAAGTTACCACTACATATGAGTAGCATTTATATTCTATTCTGAAGACACGCTATATCTTGGTATGAAGCAGCTCTTCTTTCAAACATAAGCTAGTAAGTAGATGCATAAAATTGATCAGTGAACCTCCCTTTGTTAATGAGTGCATTGCATTCCTGCCGTGAGTCCTGGCCTCCTAAGGATTTTTGGCTTTCAGGGGATCCGCAGTGTCGACGCAGGGGTACTTGATGGTCAGGCACCAGATATCCAAATAATCGCATATGCTGGTAATCACATCGAACTAGATATGCAGTGGTTAACAATAAACCACAGAGTATTCATTGAACATAAGTAAACTCACCACAAAACTTCCGTATATACCAACTGCAAGGCCCAGACACATGAAGACGAAGGCAACTTGGTTCTGCCCAGTGGCTATGAAGCTCTTCTCTAATAGCCCAAGTCTCGGAATCAAACCGTCGATAACACCCACGGCAAGAGGAAGGTTAAGCACGTTGTGGTATGGGAAATCAAGCTTAACAAGGTGAGCGACAATCATCTGTCCGACCGAGTAGGCGTTAAGGATACTAGTGAATAGGATGACGGGGACGAGGTGGTTGTGCAGTATTTCCGGATGCATGTAGAGATACGGCACTAGCAACGTCCAGGGTAAAATTGCAGGCAACAAGCCGTAAAGCGGAGTATATTTACTGTCTTCACCACTGTCCCTGTTACCACCAACTGCCTTCTTGGCCATATAGGCCTGTGGGTCTAGTCGGTGTTCAGCGATGCGTTTCTCAACAACTTTCAGGACGTTCATGATACTGGTCATGGTGCTGAAGAGGAGAACAACTCCGCCGTAGATCAACCACCAGGTAGTGAACGGGAGAGTGTAAGCGGAATCCGAAAGTATTGAAAAGTGTGGGATTCCTAGAGTTGGCAGCATTGGCCGGTGCCAGAAGCTTCCCCCTCCAAGGAGAGCAGTGGTAAGGAAAACGAAGCAGAGCGACAGGATACCTTCGACAGGGCCGGAGACAATACCAAGTGTGAGGACATAGGTATGGTATTCCTCCCATGTTTGGACGTAGAACGTGAAGACCGCTGGCGTTATGTTAGATTGGTGAATTATATAGGTCGACTGGGTACAACTCACCGCCGAAAAGAGTGAGAACAGTTGCCCAGCTCTGTCCCAGGTTCACTGCACCGGCAAATATAAGGACTCCAAGGCCAGTGTTGCAAGCATCAACACCTATATAGCGGTTAGTATAAGCCTGTGTTTCCTACAACACGGCCAAGCTTACCATGATCGAACAACTCTCCCAAAGGCCCGCTCTGTTTTGTTCGTCGACTATTGGTTGAGTTAGCAAGATAATCTGCCCTGATTAAGAGTAGTATAACATACGCCTGAGTCCCGTCAACAGCATCGAAAGTCTGGTATAAGAAGAGCCCCACGGCCCAGCTGAGGTATACCCAGGGAGGACAATCCTTGTCCAGAGTAGGATTGTACCACAGTAGAGTTAAGAAATTCACAACGACAAATGAGAAACCTGTCAGTGTAATCTATGATATTCCAGTAAGTATACCTTTAGCTTGTAGTTAATATCATAGAGCTTGCTTACAAGGTTCGGCCTGTAACATCGTGTCAGTATGCTCCATCAATTGCAGCGAAGAGAAGCCATTGCTTACGCCATTGACATAGGGAAGAGATTAATAACATAGTTCGTATAAAAGGGCTTCAGAATGTATTTCGAGGTCAACGACTTATCAACAGAAGCGTATTTGTATTGTTTCAGGCCATCGAGGGCCTCCGCTCGTATATAGGTCATTTTTGGTCTTAGGTCTCCTCAACTTTGTATTAAAAGTAATAACCGAGAAGAACAAGTAGGTAAATTTAAGCAACACAGCCAATATCAAAGCCAACAAAAGAGGTATTAAAGGACCCTTTTCCAAGAGAAACCCGTTGATATTATGTCCAATTCCGCAAAGCGAGGCGGGGACTGGGGGTGGTTGTGTATATGAAGACCCTTGCTCGGGAATTTCCCGAGTATATAAACGGGGTAGATGGGCTATTCTAGTTAGCCACAGCGGTCAGGCGACAAAAGAAAGAAAGGAAAAGCCCAGTGAATGCACGAAAGCCACGCGCTGCTTGATTGCTTCTTCATCACTTGTCCTATATTTGGTGTTATTGAAGAGCGACGGAAAAAAAGAAGGAAAAAAAGTGACGTTTTTTGTGTTGACCTGCCAAGACCAGGATCGGCTTGGCAGGGACCGAGCGCTGGCGGGAAAGTTATCAGATCACAAGATCGAGATGGACTGGAAGACGGAGGCGAAGATATAAAAGAGGATGCTGGGCTGGTTTGATACTAATATATAATTCTGAAATGAACTTCATGGTGGCAAGATGCTAAGATATACATGTATAAAAAAGAAGGACCCAGAACTCGGTGTACTACTATCCCATTTCATCTGCTTCTGACTGCAGTGTTCGATGGAAGGAATAAGCTCCCTCAGGACGCCTCTTGTATGGTTTCCATCCCTCTCCTTCCCGGGAAGACATCACGAATCGATATTCATTCTTGATTCCCCTTCCTATCCACACGGAAGAGCAAATACATCATGTAGATTTCTCTAGCAGTTTCGACAGCGAGCGGCCGAATTAACCGACAGGGCTCCATGGCATTGGGATAAGGATCCTGCTCTTCATCGTCTGGATCAATGGAACAGTCTTGTGTACCGTGTCAGCCCAGCCTTCGAGTTCCCATGACTGTTCACGTCTCTTCTTTCGTTCTTCCAGGTCTGCAAATTGCCACAGATGGTGGACAGTGTTGAGGTCGCCAATCTGCACGAACCATGCACCGACTCCTTCCATGATCTGTCGTCTGGCAGCCAGACCTCGTCTCCAGTGGCTCTCCCACTCTAGAAGGTTACCCGGATGCAGGGTGTATGATCGAAGCTCGAAGACACCTCCAAGCCGGCGTGGAGGCGTAGTAGGCCAGAAGGAGAATTCTTGCATGAGCGACGTCTTCTTACTCTTGATTAGGGACTTGAGTTTACGATCGAACTCAACGAAACCGGGCTGCTGACCAATCTCATGAAGAGATGCGTGATATCCGGTGTATCTCTGGTACTCCCAAATATGGACTAAGACGCCAGTTAGCAATTGCAATTTAAAGGTGCAGGGGCCTTAAGAGTGGTGGTGCTGGATACCGAAAGTGTCATTATCTCCGACTTGAGTACGCCAACTGCCGACGAGGTTGACCCTGTTCTGTTCCATCCCGGCCATTTTGGGATACCATTCACCAACCAGCCCTACATACTCGTCGACCTTGTCCGGCTTGACCTCGTGAAAGACAATCGAATGGACATATTTCCCTCGTGCCAAGACTTCGGAGAAGGACCGCTCAATATCCTTGTCTAGCTGTTGACCTTCTTTAGTTCCGTAAATAAGACTGGAAAGACGGCCACGGCTTGGACTGTTGTTATTCTCTGCCTGTTGCCGTTCTCCTACAATGCGGTGGGTTGATAGTGAGCCTAATGCCTGGCGGTCCAGAGAGGACGCAGCATCAACAACAGTGGAAGGTCCGCTCGCATTGCTCGCATCTTGAGCAGTGGGAGGGGTTTGGGCATAGGAGGAAGAGGAAGGAGAAACAGGGGCAGAAGCATCAAGCGACTGACTGTCTTGCTCTGCTTTTCTTTTCCGAGCAGCTTCTAGATTATCACGGAACTCCTTCTGACGGGTGTTAAACGATGAGGCATTGTCTGGGGTAATGTCTCGGATGGAGGGGGCACGCAATCGGGTACATGAGGTGCTGAACGGACGAAGAAGAGAGGGAGAGGTGCCGGATCGAAGCAGACGCGACGCCAACATGATGACAGATGGCACGCGAGCGAAAATGACGGTTCGTGTGAGGTAGAAGAGGAACCGGACAGCAGGGTGTTGTTTCGAGCTGGAGATTGAGATGGAGCGGTTGCGGGACAGGTACAAGAAAGGTGGACACCTGAAGGTCTCCGCAGACGTTTTTCGAGAAAAGGGCCGGGGAAAAGTGAAGAAGTCGAAAGGAGGCAAGGCTTTGAAATTGCACGCAGTTGTATGGAAAGAGGGGAAGCTAGCTCAGGTTCAGGCTCAGGCTCAGGGCAAGGTGGTCAGGCAGGGATAAGTAACTATGTATACGGGGGAGCATGCAGCAAGCCGCTCGACCGATAAGAGCGTACAGACAAAGGGAAGGCACAGCTCCCCGGAAAGACGAATGAAAGACAGTGGATTGGCCCTCGAATAACCGCCAGAACGCGAGAGAAAAACCGCGAAAGACGGGGATGCGAAGTGGATGAAGTTGAAGTTGACGTTGAAGTTGACGAAGTTGCGAAGTTGAAGAAAAAGAAAATAAGAAAAAACAAACTCGTGTCACGTGAGATAAAGCGGGAGACCCCAGACGCTAGTCTTTTTTGGGTTAGACTAATTATTACGTCATAGGATCGCGGAAATTAATTATTCCGGTTAAGCTTAGTCAGCAGTAGAGATCGCCCGAACCACTCGTGGGCGCAACAAAAGTAATAAAATCAAACAAGGCGGCGCAAGTTTTGATGCAGCAACAACAGCGAAAAGGACGCTTTTAGAAACAGACAGTTAGAGGTCGATGCAAACTGTTTTGTGCATGCTGATAGCAAGATGACGAGCCTACAGCACCCCCCGTTGAGCTATGAGGCCTCGGCCACCACCACGCACCCCCACTTCGCTACATGCCTGCCGCAGGAAGTGGTCTCTTGCCTGAAGAACTCCCGATTCGTAGGTTCTTCCACGCGACCATATGGACGGGGAACGGGAAAGATGACTAACAGTGTATGCTAGCTACATCTTGCAACATGCGACGGACTCAATCCTCACATCTCTCTTATGAGCTACACCTTTCTCCCCTCCACGCCATTCAACCCCACCCCGACCATTATCATGACCACCAACCCCTCATCCAAAAAGACACTCAATCTCCGCTCGAATCCACGAGTATCGCTCCTGGTACATGACTGGGTTTCTCACAGACCTCCCACCCGGACCCGAGATGCCGGACGGGAAGGGTCTCCGCCTCCCGCAGCCACGCAGTCCAGTCTTGCCACTTTGCTTTTAAACCTCAACACTAGTGCCATGAGCAGTATCAGCACCACGATAATCGGTGAAGCCCGGGTCCTTGATGTAGGTAGTGAGGAAGAGAAGTGGTGTAGAGAACGCCACTTAGAGAGCAATACGTTTATTGCGGACGAAGGGGGGATTGGCGTCTTTAGTAGCAGTGGCCAGGCGCGGCAGGGAGGCACAGGAGAACAGGAACGGCGGCCATCTATTATGGATGACGATGTCAATGTCGTCGTGGTAGCTGTCAAGGAAGGCAGGATTGCGGATTTGAAAGGTGGGGTGAGAGATTGGGCTGTTGTGACAGAGGGACAGGTGAATGGAGTAGCTCCTGGTAGCTAAACTACCTCTAAATTTCTCTAGGTCAGCGCCATAGCTCCTGAACTAGTTACAGGCTAAGTTTACCAGGTGCTTCTATATTCTCCTCCCTACTGCCCTTCTTACTACAAAGAAAATGACAAAAAGTGCCTTCTACCTAGTAGCCTTGGTATGTAAAGCCCTATCCTCCCATTGTGAGAATAACCATGACGCAACAGCCGACAACAGAGGCAAAATCTCTCGGATTAATGAGATATCTCAATCCCACCGGCTTAAAGGAGGGGACAGTCAAGGATCTTCCCGTTAGTGCTGATCTATGAACACATTGTCAGAGAAAGAGAACCGGACATGAACCGTCCAAATGCTTATCTATTCTTATTTAACATTCCATGCTTATGTCTCTACCGGCAGCCGGCTCACGGCAAAGCCGTAAACTAACGGAGTTACGCTTAGTTTCGTTCGCAGATGCTATCGCACAACCACTCCCTTTCGGCTCGACTGTGGAGCATCCGGTGAAGCGTTATTAGCCCCTCTCTAAGGCCCCAATATCATATCACGCGATTCGTAGAGCGAACCTTGCTATGGTCGGACAGCCGGCTCTATATACGCTTACATTACCTCGAACAAGGCAGTTCCATGGGGCCCCGTTCAAAGGAGGATTCGCTTGCTCGATGCACTACCGCCGTAGGCGACATCAGGTCCCTGTTTCCTTTCGCACCAGTTCTCTACGCAGAGCACCGTTAGCGCTATACCTATAGCAAGTGCAAGGACCTTGCTACTCTGAAACCTTTCCCTGCTCTTGATGAATAGGAGGTTCGCGAGGCGGAAGTTACTTACTTCATTACGGAGATGACTAAGTTAAGTGGGTTAGGGACTTGGTAAATGGGCTAGCCCCCATAATAGGCGCATACGGTCGAAGGTGACACAGGGCCAGAATACTTTCTCCATTCATTTCGAGACCGGATGAAAGAAAATTGGCTGTCATTTAATGAACCTCTGATATCGCAAAACTTGGCGCATCATCTCCGACACTTGGCTTTGCTTGGCTGCTCCCTAACTGAAGAGCTGCTGGAGGAGTTAACTATATCTAAACACGATATATGGGAGTCAAAGCGTCATCTCATGGGATAAAAGTTATGATCTCAGAAGTTAGATTCGAGCTCCTGATCTTCATTATATTTAGCTATCGCTAACTACATTCCGAGACAGCCTGGAGAGTAAAGTTACTATTACTACACGAGCTTGCTGCATGGCGTGCGTCAAGCGTTGGTGGGGAGTTCACTCGTAGTTCTGTCTTTCACAAACAAGCTAAGCAAGGGGGTAAAAGTGGGACTGGATTTCGAGCGCTCACTGGGCGTGACAATGCGCCAGGCCTGTCACCAGAGCTATCCATGCAGTGAAAAAAGCGGAGATGCACAGTATAGCGTGCGATAACTAAAGTAGTTGCATATGTAGCTACTGCACGTATGTACTGAAGTATGATGTTAAAGGAACTGGAACCGGAATCTCTGGTTTAAGGGGCTGATAGACCCGTTTCAACCGTTGCAAGGGAGCAAAATTGACCTGTCATAATCAGCGTCAGTCGCTTGAAAGGATAACTAACTAAGCATGGTTGTGATTCCTTGCTACATATACGAAGGCGCGCACTCGGCGCCAGAGTAATGGTCTTGGGACGACAGGGACCCAGAACAGCGAAAACCTGTTTCTCAGTGCATACGAATCTCCATATCCAATCTAGACCTGAGAATACACCAATTCGTTTGCTACTAAAGGATGAAGTCAGTATAAAAGCTAGATTTAGAGTTTACGGGAAGGCCCGTCCGCCATAGTGGGGCCGTAATAATGCTTAGTCAGCGTGCTTTTTCCGAGATGGAGCTCTTTTTCGTCGATGCGGTTTCTCGAAAGGCGTCGGGTGGGTGGAGGGAGGAGGCTGTTTTACAATGGTCGGGGCGCGGTCAGATATCATAAGTGGATATATTTCGTTTTTAGCAGTTAATAATATGGCTGTATAAAGAAATATAGAAAAAGTGAGGCAACGATGCGAGGATGCTCTAACTAGCTCTCCTGCCAAGGACGAAACGAAGTGAAGTGGAAACGGAACCGTTCGTAGACTGCACCATGTCGGTGAATAAAAGAGACCGGCGGGAAAGGGGATATAGAAATAAAACACGAAAAACAGGGCACAGAAGAGATATTCGCCGTTCTAACAGGAAACATGGAAGGAGACGGAAAGTACAAGGAACTGGGGAAGCATGTAACAACGGTTTCACTTTAGAGAATCATGTGAGCGGGGAATAAGGAACCGAAATACCACGATATAATCCGGCGATCTTGGCTGAAGGGGGGAATAATAATAAAACAAGAAAAACCGAGGTAAAATTCGATAAGAAAAGCGAAATAACTATAACTCGTGCTGTGACTCTTGATGGGAAAAACCGAAACGTATCGCTTTGTGAGGGTTTACTCGGAGGAAGATCCAGAACGGCTAGAGGGTTTCTTTTCTCGTTTGTAGATCTCGCTGGGGTCCCATTGGGAAGGCTGAAACTCAGCATTAAGGAAGTGTGCTTGGTTGAAATGGGAGCTTAAGAAACGTAAGCAATTGGACAAGTACCCGATTGATTTGGATACGTACTTTCTGAATGGAATGGTCAAGGGCAGACAGCTCATGTCTGGATCAACAAGTGGGTTCATTCGGATAAGTAGTTCAGAGGGCTTGTCCTCTGGTGGAGGAGGGGAGCGAAGGGGGAGGTTGATAGTTGCATGTCTGGGCGGGGCGGGTTCAGGGAGAGGTATTGTGTGATGGGGTATCATATTTTCTGGAGGATTCATGGGATAGGAGTACTCGTACGGAGACGGTGCAGGAGCTGGGTGCGGAGGAGAATTTGCCGGGTCTAGAGGAAGACTAGGAACGGCCATTAAGACTGGGTTGAGATCAAAGTTGAGAGAGTTAGGATACCAAGGAGAGAAATCGCAGGTCATGGAGTACTGGTAATTTACGGGAGTCGGCGACTGGGGTGAGCCATAAAGAAGATCATAATGGCCACTAATTCATAATGTTAGTCGGGAGATCTTAACCTGTAGATATGCGGAGGACTCACGGTCTGTACAGGAGTTTGATAACCCCAAGGGAATCAGTGCGTTGTGGTGTAAGTTGATGTGCATTAACTTCGTCACCCTGGCTGCGATCAAGGTAGAGAATCTGAACATCAAAACCAGACGCCTCGATAACTCCGTCAACCAAGGCCTGGAGACCAATTTCGTCAATCTCGGTTCTGACGGTATCGACTGTTCTCGAACAGTACTGCTCTATCGGCATGGGCAGGAAAGCTTCGTATCTCTCCCGGTTGAGCTGCATCCAGGCGCCCGTCATCAACTGGAGGAAAAGTTAGCACAACCATAATGTGTAGATAGATGAGCAAAAGTTAGAAACCGACCCTAAAGTGTGTGATGATTGCGTTTGAGTTCCATTCGTTGTTGAAGGCGTCGACAATGAAAGTCTCGTCCTGGTTGTTGTTCGCAATCTGTTCAGCCATGCTTTTCAAGAGCTCTTCCGTAGCATCAACAAAAATCTCGTACAGATGCTCTTGCTGGCCCACAGCATCGAACATTGCGTTGAAGCTCTTAATACGGGCTAGCTCTTGAGCGATTTTGGCCTGATCACGCAGAGCAAACAGGCTTTCAAAATAGCCAAAGGCCACAGCTAAAAAAAAAGACAGATTAGCGCCTGTGGTTCCCAGCAGTTGAACCGGACGAGCGAGTCAAACCTCTCCATCCACAATTGCCATCTCCCTTCATGATACGATAGTGAGAGTGTGTCTGCGCCAGAGACTATTACATCCCGTCAGTTAACTGCTGGCTTTTGAATGACTCCAATAGGGGGGGAAGAATTACCGATGTCTTTGCGACATAGATGGGATCAGCCTGCGCATACTCCTGGCTCAGCGCAACGCTGGACTGCTTGATGCCAACGAGAGGGCCCTTCGAACAAGGCGTCAGCATGTCCATAGATTACTATAGAAATTAAGCACTGGTCACCCACCTGCAGATCCGGCTCGTACTCGTTGGAGAGCTTCTGGAACTCGGCCATCTCGTCCGGTCCTAAGTTGGCCATGATGGGCTGGTGGTGGACCAGATAGTCGCTACACGGCGGCTGGTAGACCCGGGAGAGGAGCAGGTCCGGGCGGCACTGGTGGATGGGGCTGTAGCCGTCGCTGAAGCCGTCGTTGAAGCCGGCACTGAAGCTGTGCTGGTGGTGCAGCTGGAGCTGGTGCTGGAGGTGCTGCTGGTGGAGGTGAGGTTGATAGTGGAAGGGCATCGGCACTTCTCGCGCTGTGGGGAAAAAAGAGTAAACATTGGCTCGCTCGGCCTCCATCATCATCTTCACGGCCTGAGGGAAGACAAGGCCCCCCATGTGCACTGCAACTTCGCAACGACAAGCAACGAGAAAGGAGAGGCCGTTCTGCTGGCGGTTTGCCTGCTCGTCTTCTACTATCTTTTTGCTTCTCTTCTCGCTCGCTGGCAGCAGGATCTCTCTGGCCAGCGAGTGTTTTCGTCGTGACAGCGCGGGGATCAGGTCAAGCAAGGAGCAGACAAGGACAAGGGCACAAAGGAGACACTCGATAGTGAGGAACTGCAGTAACAAGGAAGACTCTGGAAGACGGAGACAGACACTGATTCGAGCACCAGGGCCGGCACCCAAGGGTGATTTATAGACTGAACAGACGCTACGGACGGGGATAGGGTTTCTGGCCATGTAACTATGCAGCATATGGGACGATGATCGGGAAATGAACCAAACAGCTGAGCCTGCTTACGACACATGCTGTACCCCGCTAAGAAAGGAAAACGCTTAATGGTTCTAGACACGAGGGGCCCGGGGGGAAAAACAAAAGAAATAAGCCAGGGACACAAAAAGTTATTGCCGATTTTAGCGGGTTTGGTCGAGCGCTGGGGCACCTAGAAACTAACTAAGAGCATCCAGCGACAGCAGCCGCGGCACGAGAAAAAAAAAAAAAAAAAAAATGAAAGCTGAAAAAAAAAAAAAAAGGAGGAGGAGGAGAGAGACACTGCTGCTAGTGCTGGCGGAGCGTTAGGCGGGTGGGGAGTCTGGCAGGGCCTCGCAGCAGGTCAAAGGAGCCGGCGTCGATTGACAAACAGACGGGGGGAGACATGACACACAGGGCCAACGAGACAGATTCCAGAACATACTGGCCCGCCGGAGTTGCGATGAATGTACGGCGCCACGGTATCAATCATGTCTACAGCGTACATCTATGCCGCTTCTGCAGGCCTACACGGGTACCAGCAGACGACTCGCTGTGTGACACGGCCTGGCAGGCGAGGATCCAAAAAGAAAGTTACCAAAGAGTGACAACTGACAGAGATAGAGAGAGAGAGAGAGAGAGAGAGATGGCAGACTCGCACCGAACTCCCTCGGTCACTCACACTCACCCACACGCAGATACTCCGTGCATTCTTTTTTTACGGGGAGGATCCTCTTGTTTTGATTGATCAATGGAAGTCTGCATAAATTCCTGCAAGGGAGCAAGCAGGCGGGCAACGGACTTGGGGCCCCCTGTCTTCCGGTAGCCAGCACCAAGGGCCTTTTTTTGGTTTCTTTTTCCTTCTCTTCTCCTTTTCCTCTTGCTTGTCCGTCACACAGAGTGAATGCAGCCCAAGTTGATGGTCTGAGAAGGAGGAAGAGAGAGGGAGTTGACTGTAGTGAGTGATGAAGGCAGAGCTGGGCCCGTGAGTGAGAGCATGCTCCTTGAACATGGGGGTCATAGTTATAGGGAAGGGCCGTCATATTCTACGTATATGATGACCTTTTGATAACTAATTACGTTAACCAGCCAATCGTCCGAGGCACATTTATAGAATCTTGCTGGAATAATGGGGTCTTGCAACCCCGTCGACAAGGGTACAGCTGTCTTCCCCCCTCCGGTACTGAGGAACCGGTCTCAGGCCTGACCAGATAAGATTTCTCAAGACTCCCAGCGACCAGCCCTCTTCCTCTAGCCACGAATGACCCCCCGGCGCAGGTTGATATCATTTGTCAAACCTCTCCTTGGCACAGGACATCTTTTCCTGCCACATTTTCTTTTTTACTCTCTCTTGCAGACATCAATAATAGTAATAGTGCTATTATTACTTTACAAACACAACGAAGCATCCTGCCTGCTGCATGAAATGCCAATACTCCCCGGGCACTCCCAGCCCAAATCACATTCGCTACCTACCTATGGGGGTACCATCATCACATCGGTGCAGGAGCATCCCGCACATCAACCTACAGGACTTATCACCATCCCCTCCTTTTTTCCCCCCATGCCGGGCCATTACAGGATCTTCCATCCTGTGACATGCGTCAAGGACGAGGAGCTAACTGTCCAAAGGCAGAAGCTTTTCTACAATCATAGTGTCTAGAAGGGAAAAAAAAGTGGAAAAAAAGAAGAAAAACTCTTTTCTCCACAGCCCGTTGTCTCCAGGAACTCCTGCTAGTTCCCTAGTGGTACTGTTTTTGGCAAATAATACCTTGTTGCTGATCCGATTATGGAGATTGCATATTTTATCGGCATTGCGCATCATCTTCCATCTTCAAGCTAGCTTGATACGAAGCAATAAGTGGCTCTATTCTGGGGTTGCACGAGAGCTCGAGTACGAACGGGCAAGCATACTGTGCCGGTGTTGGTCGTGATGCATATTCCCAATTCCCAACCTCCGCCTTGTCGGGATGATGAGACGACTGCTATTAAAACTGCGGAGTAGCGTCCATTGGAGCTATAGCCGATGGTGGCCAAGCCTTGACCGCCATGTTGCAGCTCATGAACCAAAAAAGAAAAAGCTGCTACATAGGTAGCCGGTGTCAGAGTACGGGAAGTTGGACCCATCAGGGGAGCAAGAACTTGTAAGATACCTTCTTCAGCTCTGCACGCACTAGCGGATTGGGAAACTGAGGGCCCCCTTCTTTAGCGTTGACACTTGCTCACAAACAAGATATGCTGAAACCGCCCATCATTGAAGAATCTGACCTGGAGAATCGTTTCTGGCCTTATAGGGGGGAGAGAATAAAACGAATGGGAAAAAGAAAAAGAGCCTCATGGGAAATACCTGTTGGCCAAGGCTTGGTTTCGGCATACATGGAGTATGACTCAGGGGAATAGCTCTTGCTGTCCGAGCTATACCCGGCTGCATGTCTAGTTTGCGGGTGTGTTACAGGGCCAGTCCTAGTCCTCATATACCTAAAAAGATACGGGGAATAGCAATGACGTCTGGAGCATAGCTGTGCCACGAAAAAAGGTGGGTGGAATGGAAAAAATCAAATATTGCATGTACGAAGGAGTTGCCCTGTGGTCACACAAGACAAATCCCCCATCATGACCAGCGGAATTTTCCTTTACATTATGCATGCACAAGCATGTACCTCAACTTCTGATAATATCGGACAATATAATCGTCATTGAGCTTATACGAATATCCAACCGGACCGATCACCTGCAGTTTGTGTGACCATCCTCTCGAAGCGGATAATGGTTTGTACCAAGTGAATGCGCCCCGGTGTCCATGGAGTCTTCTCTCCATGTTTTAGCAGCTGGTTGAGGAACGTCACATCTTACCATGGAGTGGTTTTCGGGACCCCTCGTGCCGGACCTGTACCTTACCTACTCCAGGAGGTATGACCCAGCCCCATTTCGTGACTTTGGTATTCCATCATTGCAAAGCGGCAGCTAACCGATGAGCTGCTAGAATGTTTCACTCTCTCCGTTGGCGCTAAAGGCGGGCGCACCGGTGCTCCGCATATTGATATCGAAGTTTAATTGACCCATCAAGGACAGCAGGTAAAAGAAACGAAGAGGAGAGACCAGAAAAGGGCCAAAAAAAAATAGATGAAAAAGCAAAATACTTCACTGCTGCGTATCAGAGTGGCACAGCAGATAAAAAATCAGTGGATATAGATGCAAGTACCCTAGGATAAAAGGGGGTTGAATCGGTATTATCAGAGGTATTGGACATATCTCTTTCCTTCGCCTCATTGTCTCTCTTCCTTGCCGTCGTTTAGATGGCACGCATTAGTGGGATACGTACAGCCGCCCGTTAGACGATGCATATTGCAAACCACGGAAAAGGGGTAAAAAAAATAGATAATGGCTCTTACCCCATTTCGGATAGTCAAGGCTCTAAATGATTGATCATGTCTGGATGTACATGTCATGCTTGAACATACCGGGTCGGATATTGGTATCTTGGTTAGGGCCGTTTGCTGGAATGTCCACGGGTACTAGCAGCATGCATGCATGCCACGACAGCGACTTGACGGGTACGTACATGAGTGGCGTCGAATCACCGCCTGTTCTTGCACCTTTCACGCCCCTTCTTACCGAATATATGGCTATTGTACCTTGACCTCTGGCTGCTTGTACGCCGTATATCATTAGCCGTCCGGGTACATAGCTCGTTTAACTTGCAGGCACATAGGTACTTCTACGTACAGACGTACATGCATGCCATCCGTTTGCTTTCTCCAGAGAGCCAGCGGGCGCCGCCAGAGTCGTGCAGCTAGCGGTATGATTAGGGCCAGCTGGGCGTAAGCAAGTATGAAATGGTGGGTATATCGTTCAATCTGTCCCGACCCGTCTTCGGGTCGGGATCTGGTACAAGGCCAAACCTATCAGAAAAACTAATACATCCTTTCATTAGACATTACGTTCAATATGTACACGAATCCTTCAACTCCACTAGCAACATAGGTGTGAGGATGGCTTCTCTGGCTTCTTGCAAAGTCGTGCCATCCAGCACTCGCCCGTCTGTCGTGTATATTCCACAACATCTCCTGCTTCCCCGCCCATTAAATTGGATTGTGCACTGTTTTTGGTCATCAGGACGATGGGCTTGTCGAATCAGTAGGCCAGAAAAATTCACGCCTTCATTTCGATATCACCGTCACTTGAAGTCCCGTCCACCGCCTTCTTGCCCGATCTCCAGTGATGGACTGCGGCACAGGAGAATCCGAAATAAGCCAGGTATAGCAGTGTGATCAGGTATCCAGTCACCTGTCGAGCCCAGAATAAGCCATTCCATGCATCTGGGAATTTCTGTTCGACGCAGGCATCGATCAACGGAGCCAGGACGGAGAAGGACACCCACAGCCCCATGAAGCAAAAGGATAGTACCAGGGCAGCGATGGGATGCAGTAGATTCCTGGCATACAGCCATAGCTGAATTGGAACATGGAATGTCTCGATTGCAATGGGAATAAACAGCCATATTATTTGTCCTCTAAGGAAGAAGTTCATGGTTAGTTTTCCCATTCGCTTTGTAGTTAAGGAGTCGGACGGCTAGAAATACTAACGGGTCGCAATCTTCTAGCGTATCTTTCCATCGAATCGGGGGATAATCATCACGAGAGCTTGCACTCTTCTCATAGACAGCAGAGAAGATACTGGCAGCAATTACAAAGACCCAGAGAAGACAGCATAACGCTGCTATCGGTACGAGGAACCATTTCCCTATGTTCAAGGCTCTGAGATAACCGCATGGTCGCTGCTGGAGGCTGGGGATTTTCGAGTCCGCCATGTTCAAAGGTTTATTATTATATCGTTATAATACTGCCCGTCATCATGCAATAGCCTTACCATCTGGCAAGCGGGCCGCTAAGCTGATATATATATCTCATCGAGTATTATGGTGGAAGGCTGGCTTCTTGGCCCATGCTGTCATGGAGGATTCTGATGATGGGCGCTCAGCGGGTCTTTATAGAACATGACATGGTTGGTATTCGCGAAAGACATCGTATCGGCCAAGCATATTCATCTTAACACGAGCAATGCAAAACAGCTCCATGAACGGTGGGTGATGGAGAAATCAAAAGCCGGCTGTGATTTGGCGACGGGAGAAGAGGCTGGAGAAGATCAACCGCCAAGCGCTGCTGCGCCTTGGGGTGAAGTCGACGTCATAGTTTTTATATAGCATACAAAGGACGACGACTTGAAGATAATATGAAGAGACACCAAAGGAAGACGACAAGAGGCATACTGTGGCAAGGGGTGTGGTCCTTGATATCAAGGTAGGACGGAACTCTGATAGTTACCCAGCTAAATAATAGTCAACAGACAAAGAACGTGCCACTTGCTTTTCATCAGTCGTAACAATATAAACACCCCATCACAAACTCCAAAAGAACTCATTACATTAAGACGTAAGCTTGCCCCAGGAAGATCGACCCGTTTTCCCTTTTGGAAATTTGAATGACCTTTCTCCCATTCCAAAGCTTGTGCCCGATATGGTCGATTCATGGGAATAAAGATTGGCGTATCTCATTCCACCAAAACCTCCCATCAAGGGGTGCATGTTGTGGACATTTTCGGGCCTGAATCCTTCGGCCTGGCTGAAGGTTGAATCATAGAGCATTCTAAGGTTATTGTTCCATAATAGCAGGGCGTTGGAGCGCTCCTTGTCAATATCGCATCTTCGGGTGATTTCCACAATGCCGTCTTCTTCGTTTATTTTTGCATCAGCGAGCTCTCCATCGAGAATCAGGAAACTGAGGATGTCTTGGACTTCCGTAACCGAGATTTTGAGCTTCTTGGAGACAAATGCAAGGGTGAAGCGAGTGTAGGGCTGGATGAGTTTCACAACGGCCTTGGTGCGCATGTTACGGCTGACTTCACCGATGTTTTCAGCGATGAAGTGGTCCTCTAAAAGATCTGGCTTGTTCCGGAGGACTGCCTCGTAGGCATGGATGTCATCGCGCTGGAAGGCATCTACAAGGTCAGTCATGCCAGAAACTCGAGGATCATCTTTATATGGCTTCGTCTCTTGTGAGTCGAACGGGTTGATATCCGACTTCATCAGCATTGTGGCTAGAACCATATACTTCAACACCTGGATGCGTTGCATCGATCCGGCTTCGTCGTAGTTGCGGAATGATTCAAAGAAGTCGCTGTGAGCTTCCTTCCAATTCTCTTCGCTCATATGCATTTTGCCGCCGCACTCACGTATAATACCCATGATTTTTGGATGCGGAACAGCAGACCTAACTTTGAGCGCCCTTTGGTATAGCGCCTTCAGCCTCTTATTATTCTTGGTATTGGCATACATTTGGATCTCCAGGGCGTATATCTCCAGCGAATAGGTTCCCTTGGATGGATCATCAGTTCCGTCCGACCGTTGGCAGGCCTTGTGGAGCTCTTTAAGCTTCCTGCTAAGTTGCGCATATTCCTTCTTATCCAACCAAAGCTTTGCAAGCTTTATGTTTGTCTTCAGCCAGAGACGTTCGTTGTTGGTATTCTGGAACGATTCAAGCGTCAACGAATAGAACTCCTCCATGCAATGGTATGCCTTTACGTCATCGGATGACTTTTCAATGTAGTCTAGCATGTTGTTAATCGACTTCTCCGAGTAGTTACGAGTAACGGCCGACTTGACATAAGTGAGGAGCTCTTTGTAATGGGAAATCGCCTGTTAATCAATGGTAGTGTCAATGTGTCAGATTCCTAGAGGTGATGTTATTGGAATTTTGTGGGAAGACGTACGTCGTCGTATCGACCGAGCCGAAATTCCAGTTTGATGGCCTGTTTTAGTCCCTTGAATCCCCTTGAATACGGTTAGCAATGTATCTAAATAAAAGCAGAGAGCTTAAGGAAAAGAAAACCAATGATAACCTTACCAGTCGCCTTTATCTTGCTCCAGCGGGGGGACACCTAGGAACTCTTCTATCGCCTCCTCTGGATTGTCGACCTTTATTTGCTTCGCATTATAATATTTGTTCTCAATGCCGATATCGCCAGAATCATCGTCATCTTCATCCTCGTACTCGAAGTCATACCTATTAGTGGTCTCAGTTAGTTACATTCGTACGCACACGAGGGGTGCAGTGTATAGCTCACTCCTCCTGATCGGAGTCATGCATAAAGTCATCATCATCCGACATGGTGGCGGGTAAAAGGTCAATGGGTTAATTAAGCAGTAATGTATTTGGCCTTTCAAACGAGAATAACAAGTAAAACGAAACGAAGGAGCAGTAACATGTACTTTTGTATGTCTTCAATGCCGGCGAAGTTGCAGGTGTTGACGTTTTGCACCAAAGTTAATGTTGATCGCTATTGACAATAAAGATGCTGATTAGGTAATTATGAAGTCATCGATTTAGTATTACATCAGCCGTATTATATATTATGGCACGTGATATATTAGTCATCGCCAAGACTCAGCCTCTCTTTAGCTTTTTATGTTTTTAATTTCTATTTTGACGAAGGCAAAACATCAACGGGAGGGAAAACGAAGGGAAGAACAGAAGGAAAAGAAGAGAAAAAGGACGAGATACGAGAGTCAAGATGGGAGGCGACCTTAACGTGAAGAAGAGCTGGCACCCAGTGCTGCTCAAGAACCAGGAGCGAGTATGGGTCGAGCAGAAGAAAGCGCTCGAGGAGCGCAAGCGGATCGACCAGATGATGAAAGAGCGCCAGGAAGAGAGGCAGATACAAGAGCTACAGGAGATGCAAGAGGCCGCTGGCGGCAAGAAACGTCTGAACCGAGTCGACTGGATGTACTCTGGCCCAGCTGCTGGACAGACTGGCACGACGGAGGAGATGGAAGGATACCTACTAGGCAGAAGACGAATCGACGGGCTGCTCAAGGGGTCAGAGAACTCGAAGCTGGAGAAGGCTGCGCCCGAGGAATCGTTTATGCTGGCTCAGAATGCGAATACTGCGCGGGATACAGGGGCGAAGATCAGAGAGGACCCCATGTTGGCCATCAAGAAGCAAGAGCAGGCCGCATACGAGGCTATGATGAACGACCCAGCTCGGCGGAGGGCGTTGCTCAAGGCTGCCGGAATGGATGAGGACAGATCAACGGCTCATACGGAGAAGGAGAGAAGACATCGACGACACCGATACAGAGACGAGCGTGAGCGTGATCGTGAGCGTGATCGCGACCGGGACAGAGATCGTGATCGAGACGAGGAGAGACGGTCGAGTCGCCGGTCGAGGAGACACCATGACGAAGATGACCGACGGAGCAGACATCATCGCAGGGATCGTTCGCGTAGCGCTTCTCGCAGCCGTTCACCACCACCATCGTCATCACGAAGGTCACACCGTTCACCTTCACCTCATCGACGAAAGCGGTCCTTTTCACCACGTCAACGGGATAGAGACCGGGACAGGTCGCGATCCCCGTATAGACGCCGTGAAGAAGAAGAGTCTTCAAGGAGACATACCAGCAGTTATCGAAGTCACCGGTCTACTGGCCCGCGCCGGCCCAAGCCGGAGATCCATCAAAGCCGTCCTCCCCAGCCATCGTCTGCTGATCTAGAACGGGAGCGCGCAGCACGCCTTGCAGCCATGCAGCAAAATGCAAACGAGCTCGATGAAGAGCGCACGCGACGTATCAATGCAGCAGAGGAACGCGACAAGGCAGAGAGAGAGGCAGAAGAGGCAGCTAGAGCAGAGTCGAGCAAATACGGCGGACGGGGGGCCTTTGTCAACAACATTCACCGAAGAGCGGGAGACATCGATCTAGCAGATCGACTGCAGCGAGGCAAGAAGAACCTCGAAAAGGAACAGGAGGCTTACTGATTACGACAAGGGTTATTTTTTTTCTATCCTTTTTCCTTTTTGTCTTTCTTATTTTTGGCATTGATTTGTTTTTGGCTCGGGAATTTGCATTTGGGCGTCAGCATTCATATTCTGGTTCTAGCGTTACGGATATCAAATATGGAATACCACGGACAACAATAACATTAATTGACAACAGACATTGCTCTTCCTCTGCTCCATCTTCTTTTGGTCCTTCGTCAGTCCATGTTTTCTTCTTTCTGGCCCCGGCCGCCGCATACGCTACGCCACTCGCGATCCAGGCCAACAGGAGACCGTGTACCTGCGCAACAAGCGCCATGTCATGCCACAACAAGACGAGGCTTTCGATCGTCACGATGACAGGTCAAGTTCCTCTCTTGGACTTGCAGTCCCGTTCCATAACCATCGGTTGCGTTGGTTCGTTGCTTGACTTGTCCGCCAAACGGCCACCAAACGACCAGATGCGAAGTCGAAATCTATCCAAGGATCTCTGGCTGCGCCGTTCCTGCAGGTCAAGGTTTGATTCCTTATCTCTCCTTTCCTGCAGAGACGTCACCAGTTATAAATAGACATGGAGAATTCTGGCTCTGAGGAATTTCTTGCCGTAAAACTCTTTCGCCGTTCAAATATTTCGCCTCCTCGCCGTTGGGGCTCACTCACCTGCTGCGGAATAATAACGACGACACCGTCTAAAAAAGCTCCACATACTCAAACACCCACCTCTCAGGTCCATCCTCCATCGGCCAACACAAGCAGTAATTCGCTTTTGCTAGGGCTTCTCCCTCCTCTCGTCACGGGGCAGTCAATAATACGAGCACGTTAGCATCCCTGATCCCGGCCGCGGCAGATGGAATCGACTGATTTTCTTGGACAACATCATCGATAGTCCTCTGCTTCTCCCGGGTCCTCCACTTATTCTGCTCCATTTCTTCTTCTTCCCTTCTACTTCTCTTCTTCTTCTCGACGATCTATTGGCAGCGAGAGCATTGAAACATTTTATCCGGCTTCGAGTTGCCAGGTCTACTTGAAAATTCAGCTTGTTTTCCCTCTTCTCCAGCCTTATCCGGACGATCCCGTTTCCTTTACCCCTGATTGGAATCCATCCCGCTAGCATCGACTCGACGGTTTGCATTTACAAGACTTACTTATCCAGCCCGTCTGGCTCTCTTTTGCGAGCCGTTGCCTCGTTTCGATCTCGCTCGTATCGCCGCTCGCTGTGCTCCCCACATTCTTCGCTTTGGATCCTGGGGTACATACATTTCAACGTCCTAGCAGGCTGTGTGATTTGTTGCTCAAGCTTCGACTGAACGGTTTCCAGGATGCCTCTCTGCGGAGGAGAGAAGACTGAGAAGCGCAAGCTGGTGCTCCTGTGAGTTGGAGCTGATCGGGACACTGTGAGAATTAAATAGCTGGACTGACGCGGTGGCGATATTTAGAGGAGACGGTGCATGCGGCAAGACTTCGTTGCTAAACGTCTTTACCAGAGGGTGAGTTTAAGGAATACCTTCTTGAATGAGACGAGAAAAAAATTTAAGCTTATATCGGCTAACACTACCCTAGATTTTTTCCCACCGTCTAGTATGCTATTCCTACGAGCTCTGCGTTTTTTTACAGTTGCTAACATATTGCCCTCCCTTAAAGTGAACCCACTGTATTTGGTATGTCTGGACTTGACATCGGAAATTATTTAGGAGTATATACGCTAATACAAAATATTACTTATATAGAGAACTATGTCCATGGTAGACCTCTCTCGCCGCCTCACGATCAAGAAAGACAAACGCTTACGATGAAAAACAGATATATATGTTGACAACATCCACATGGAGCTATCCCTCTGGGATACGGCCGGACAAGAGGAATTTGACCGCCTCCGTGCTCTATCATACGATGACACCCAAGCTATAATGCTCTGTTTCAGTGTATGTTACAGACTCAACGAGCCAGCTGCACCTACCAAGGACGATGGCTAATGTTTACATGCGCACAGGTTGATAGCAAAGATTCCCTCGAGAATGTCGAGTCAAAATGGCTAGCTGAAATTGGCGAGAACTGCCCTGGCGCAAAGATCGTGGTCGTTGCGCTGAAATGTGACCTTCGAGAAGAAGCCAGTGATGAAAAAGATGATGGCAGCAACACCCAGCAACAGCCAAAGCCAGTCATTACCTACAGCGAAGGCCTCGAAGTTGCAAAAAGAATTAATGCTTTACGATACCTAGGTGCGTTTACTTGACCTTGATACAGAGAGCTTAAGTACTGACTGGAGATAGAATGTTCGGCTATGAGAAACCGCGGAGTCAACGAAGCCTTTACTGAGGCGGCCCGAGTCGCTCTCTCGGTAAAACCAGCGAAAGCATCTGATAGAAGCGGCAAATGCGTGATCCAGTAGGATCCATACCCTTGACATATTTCTTACGAGTTTCTTTTCGTCTCGTCTTTCATGTTCGAGCTGTTTGTCCTCCTCGCTTTCGCCTCTTCTCTGTATTATCTTGCGTCTACTTCTTCTTCTGCTACTGGACAATCCACCTGTCCTGTCCTTCCTTAATGTTTGATGTTTCTAATTCTTTACCCGGGCGCAAATGTGGAACCCTGCAATGTCTTTGAAGACATTCATTTGCTACCGCTTTCTATGAATTTTGATGGTGTCTCTTAGGGTGCCATCTGTATATAACTATTTATACCCTCCATCGTCTAGCTGGATGGCCTGCTTTGTCCCTGCCTTTTTCCATATCATGACCTTTTTCCTTTCTATTTTCAATTCTGTCTGTCCTCTTCCCTTCCCTGGAACATTTACCTTTCTGGATATCAATTTGTCCATGCAATGCAGCTGAAACATCATCTCATGTGATCTAGAGACGACCCAGTTAACGCATGATGGCTGATGTCTGTGTTATATGCTCTTTTATCTGGAAATACTCTCATATCTCACACCTCTATATCTAACACTTAATCTATATCTTCCCTTTCTACCCTAGATTTTTCATTCCGTGTCTGGACGGAGAATTTATGCATATGAACGGGGGGTATCAAACAAAGCACAATACTAACCAAGTACATCATCCTCTTGGATCCTATATACCTCGTCCAGCCTCGGGCCCTGACCACCACTGGGTCCTCCGGAATTCACCCGGTCGACAAACGCCTGGACAAACCGCGTACTAACCTCCTCCATTGTTACATCTCCTACATTCACACCCACACCCTCTAGACTCGTAGATTCTTTGCCCTCAAGTCCACACGCAACTATCTGCCGCAGATACCATAGTGGCTCCTCGGTAATGCAGAATCCGACGCCATAACTGCTCACGAACCGTCGCAAATGCACACCAACCGCGGCAACTTTGCGAGGTATGCCGCTGTTCCCGGCATCAGGTTTCACCCACACACCCGGATCTTCAGTAGTTGTTCCGCCTTTCACACCAAACCCTTTTAACACATCGAGTACACTGTTTTCAAGTAGCCTGATGTGACATCTCGGCCCGATACGTAAGGCCCGGAGATCCAGTATGGTATATATAACTAGCTGGCCGGGGCCATGGTATGTAGTTTGCCCACCACGTAGAGTAGGATAATATTCAGCTAGATGTTGGGCGGCATTGGTAGGAGAGGAAGTCGGCGTTAGGATATTACGAATCGGTTCGAGGGGAGTGGGAAGGGAAAGGTCCGATGCCTTGGTAGCGAAGGTGTTTGATGACTCATCGTTCGGCGAGCATGACGCAGGTAGGTCGCGTCTTCCAGTCGTATATACGGGGCGAGGAGTGAATGTTAAGATCGTAGGATCTGGGGCGGATGTAGGTGGAAACAGAGCCGGAGAGTCAGACTGTTTCCTTTTATGGGTGAGTAGGCGTGAGACGAGTATCTGCTGCAGAAGGGAAGCCTGTCTAAATGGTATAATATTCGGTATATGCAAATGAGCAAGGCGCATGTTTATATCCCCACTGTCTTGTCCCCTGGCCGGAGGTGTAGACTTGTGCTGTCCCTTGATGTTTTCCTCAACTTCAAATGCGACTCAAAGATATCTTTGATTATATAAGCAATTTCAGTCATGTGATTATTGGTATTTACATAATTCTGGTCTGTGCCCAACTTAATTTTGTCTTTTTGCCGCAACCTTAACTGGATCAAGCTTAACCTTCGTTATCCTTAAAATTATCAAATACACCTCCAGGCAACATCAATCAACCCCATACAGCGAGGAAGACTTGATGTTGGTAGCGGCCGCTTATATTGACATACATATCCGTTATTCCACACGATCGGAATACATTTTGAACTCGACCCGCAGTAGTTAGTCAAAGGTTCTTGACGGCAACCCCGCATTTATTTCTCCCAAGGCCCCCCACCAAACTTGACAAAATAGCTAGAACTGCTTTGATAAAGAGAGACACTTCTTTGACCATGGCTTGCATTCTCGACTTACCTGCCGAGCTCATTTTTCCAATTCTTGATGACCTGCATACCATTCATCCACCATCCCTGGTCGCTTTTGCGTGTACAAACAAACGCAGTCATCATCTCTCGAAGCAGGCGCTCACTCGTGGTCGCTATCACACCCTTGCATTTAAAATTGATTTAACGAGACTACAGGACGATGTAAAGAAGTGTACTCTTGAGCTAGAAAGGGACAAGGGTGCCTTCGATGCTGTACGCTGCCTGATTATAGAGACAATAGAGTGGCGATCTCTAAAGATCTACGACGACGAGGGTTGTGACGAGGACTTGTCTCA